GTAGTAGTAGTAGTAGGTAGTAGTAGTAGTAATAGTAGTAGGTTGTAGTAGTAGTAGTAGTAGTAGTAGTAGTAGTAGTAGTAGTAGTAGTAGTAGTAGTAGTAGTAGTAGTAGTAGTAGTAGTAGTAGTAGTAGTAGTAGTAGTAGTAGTAGTAGTAGTAGTAGTAGTAGTAGTAGTAGTAGTAGTAGTAGTAGTAGTAGTAGTAGTAGTAGTAGTAGTAGTAGTAGTAGTAGTAGTAGTAGTAGTAGTAGTAGTAGTAGTAGTAGTAGTAGTAGTAGTAGTAGTAGTAGTAGTAGTAGAAGTAGTAGTAGTAGTAGTAGTAGTAGTAGTAGCAGTAGCAGTAGTAGTAGTAGTAGTAGTAGTAGTAGTAGTAGTAGTAGTAGTAGTTGTTGTAGTACTCGTAGTCGCAGCAGCAGCAGCAGTATAAAACGTCGTACTATTGCCATCGGCCGACACCCCGTATTCGTTCGCATACCATTGCGCTATGCTCCGCTTTCGATTCTACACCACTGGTAAGAGCAGTCTGCATGAGGTTGTAGACCATGGCAATACAGGTCCAAGACGGTCTGAAGTAACTGCGAACCCTTCCGTATGCAGTCCAGTCCCACCGCGATGCACGCAAAATGCTTTGCTCGATGCATTTCGTCGTGGAACGGAGGTATGCTGGTGCAGACACGTAGGTATCGTGGAAAATACAAGTCAGCCCAGTTAGTGTGGCAGTTGCTTCGGAGTTATTTTGCCTACCCGGCGTCGCGTCGAGTCGCGCTGGGGAGGGTGTATGGCGTCGTAGTCCAGGCTTGCGCTTTGTTTATGCTCCTAGGACGACAAGCTCGAGACCCTTGGCGGGGTCAGGCTCGAGACGGTGGACTCTGGGGCCCGGGTGGCCGCCGGGCTGCAGATCCTCGGCGAAGACCTACAGGACCCCTTCCTCCAGCTCGCCGCGGGCGTCGACTTCACGGCGGCCGGCGCGGCCCGGCTGCTCACCGATTGGGAGGCCTCCGTCGCGGCAGAGCTCCGGGATCCACGGGACCTTGCCGCGCTGCTAGTGTCCATGTCGCTGAACGGCACCAGCTCCGGGGGCGTGTTCACGACCGAGATGAGGAGTCGAAGAAGAAAAGCATCGGCATTAAAAACTTCTTTTGAGCTCCGCGCAGATCTCTTGGATCGGCGCTGGGCCCCTTAGGCGGCGCCTCCTGCGCTGCCCCTGGTGCGTTCTAAGCGCCAGGGAGGGAGGTCCAGCACCGATCCAAGGACTCCGCGCGGACCTCCGAGTTTATATTTTTCTCCTTTGAGGATGTCCGGCTCAAAAGGTGCCGAGTTGATCGCGTGGTCCACGACGGGGACGAGCAGCTCGGACAGTATCACAACCCAGGGCGGCATCGGCTCGGACACGGTCGTCACACTGGCGCTCTCGAAGCCGGACGGGCGCCTCGACACAGTGACCCAGATGGATTCCTCCGTCTCAATCGTGGGCGACGGCATGTCGATATCGGTCAGCATGGGCTACGACGGCACAGACACCTGGGATATGAGCGGAAGCTTATCCGAGAACGGTGATACCGCTGCTTCAATCGAGGCCCATTTGCACGAACAGTGGGTCTCGGTGGCCTCTTGGGTCTATGAGTATGGGCCTCTAGGGGATATTGGCCCCCTTTACATGTACGCCAACGCCAGCATCCCGAGCATCTCCGACTTTAGCGACATGTGGGAGGTCCACTATTTCCAGACGAGCGATTTCATCGAGACTGCCAATGCCACCTGGCACATGGATACCAGCGTCGGGGAGTACAGCCTCGCCGCCTCGTCGTACACGATGGAGAAGGCAGAACAATCAAAAACGGCATAGACATAATTTCTTGGAGGTTCGCGCGGAGTTCAAACAAATTACGCCTATGCCGTTCTTGGTCCCTTGAAGGACGACGGTGGCGAATGGCGGTACACCTCTTCTGTCAACGTCACGGTAGACCACATTGACACTTCTGCGGCCCCGACGCCTGCGCCGCCGATGCTTAGCAGGAAGACCGTCGAGGGGTCCTTCAGGGCCACTGTGGCGGCCTCCGAGGCCCAGGCTTTCGTAAGCAATGCCGACGTGGAGGCCTCGTTCGTGGCGTCGATCGCCCAGAGGGCTGGCGTGCCAGAGTCGATGGTGCAGGTGAGGTTTGGTTGATTAAACTATATGTCGGTTGCTTCTTATGCATTGATCTTCATTGTTTCGATGCATTCTTGTTGTTTGGGTTCTTTTTTTTATCTCGTACGTCTTTGCTTTTGGCTGTGTCTTTGTTTTTGATGCTGTTGTTGGTGTTGTTTTGTTGGTGTTGTTGTTACTGTTGTTGTTGTTGTTGTTGTTGTTGTTGTTGTTGTTGTTGTTGCTGTTCCTGCTGCTGCTGCTGCTGTTGTTGTTGTTGTTGCTGCTGTTGCTGCTGCTGCTGCTGTTGTTGTTGTTGTTGTTGTTGTTGTTGTTGTTGTTGTTGTTGTTGTTGTTGTTGTTGTTGTTGTTGCTGCTGCTGCTGCTGCTGCTGCTGCTGCTGTTGGTGTTGTTGTTGTTGTTGTTGTTGCTGTTGTTGTTGTTGTTGTTGTTGTTGTTGTTGTTGTTGTTGTTGAATTCTCATTTCCCCCCACCGGTGCATATTGTTGTTTCTCATTCGAAGTGTGCCCCTCGACGCTCGCACCCGGTTTTTTTTCAGGGGAAGTCTTGAGGCTCAAACTGGGCCCCTGGCTCCCCGGTTACAACAACGGCTCCCGTCTGAGACTTCCTTACAATTTAGCCAGGACCCCCGCTCCCGCCCGAGACTTCCTCGCATTTTATTCAGGAATCGCGCTCTCGCTGGGGACTTCCTTACAATTTATTCAGGAATCGCTCTCCCGGCGCTCTGGAGTCGCGCTCTCGCTGGAGACTTGCTTGCAATTTACGAAAGGATAGCGCCCTTGCGTTGGAGTTTCTTGCAATTTACTTGAGCGCCGCGCTCCCCACACCCAGGCACCCAGGTCGCGCTCACGCTTAGGACTCCCTCGCAGATTACCTAGGAATCGGGATCTCGCTGCCCTTCGTGGCCCCGTTGCAGCCCTTCGTGGCCCCTCGCTTTGTTTCGTGGCCCCGTTGCAGCCCTTCGTGGCCCCCTCGCTTTGTTTCGTGGCCCCCGCGCTGCCCTTCGTGGCCCCGTTGCATCCCTGCGTGGCTCCCTCGCTGCCCTTCGTGGCCCCACATATGTATGCCCTTCGTGGCCCTCGCTCGCTCGCGCCCGCGGTGGCCTCATGTGCATGCTCTCGGCGACGGTGCAGGTGACGCTCTCGGTGGTGAGCAGCGGCGGCAGGCGGCTCTCGTCGGGCGAGGTCGAAATCCTGGTGACCTACGCCATCACCGCCGAAGTGGGCGCCTCAGACGACGCGGGCGTCATAAGCGACACCGCTTTCGACAGCATGGTGGACACCTTGGCGAGCACCTCCGCGGAGGATTTCGTGGTAGACTTCGCGTCGGAGCTTGAGGCCACTGGGAGTGCTTCGTCCTTCTCCGCGGTAGTGGCGGTGCCGGGTTCGGCCACAGCCCCGATGGTCACCGAGACCTCTGAGAAAATGTCTGGCGCCCAGGCAGCGTTCCCGCAGGCGCTGCTGCTGGCCGCCATCTGCATGCTGATGGTTTGAGCGGGGATGGACGCCAGGTTTGGAGCCGGTTGGGGAGGGCCGAGGTGGTCCCAGCATCAGTTTTCGGCGTCATGGGGGCCGTTTTCGGGCCCTGGGACCGCCGAGAATCGATCTGTGACAGGGGACCGATTTTGAGTGGTTCTGCCCTCGTCCCCCCTTCTTGACAGATTTTCTAGAGGCCAAACCCCCAAGCCGCCTCCAAGATCGGGGTACCCGTTTGAGAGCTCGGCATCATGTCGAAGACGCCTTTGGCGAGATACCGCCGCCCCCTGTGGTCAAGAAGCCGAGGGTGGAGCAGGAGGGTGCCTCTTGGGGCGTCGTGGGCTGGTCTTGTGGCCTCTTTGGCGCTCTTTGCGATCTCCCTCTCCGGCCGTCTTGGGGCTCTCTTGGGGCCCTCTCGGGCTGTCTCGTTCTCTGAACCGCAAACACTGTAAGGGGTACCCGATCTTTCGAGAGAGAGAGAGAGAGGCGATCCTGCATTCCAGGATGCGAGAAAGGGGCCGTGCCGGGCGCGTGCCGTGCCGCGCCGAGCGCATGCCGTGCGCGTGCCGTGCCGTGCGCGTGCCGCGCCCTGGCGTGCCTGATTCCTGGAATGCGGAAGCGTTGCCGTGCCCTGCCGTGCCTTGCGCACTGACACCAATAATTGTTCGCGCGCCGCGTACTCCCGATATTCACCGAGCGCGTTCCACCACTCGCAAAGTGCCTACTCGCAAACGTCCGAAAAACGCATGTCTGCTTTGATACAATTTATCGTTGATCCCCCGCGGCGGATCCAGGCCATTTGCGAGTAGTTACTTTGCGAGTAGTGGAGCGCGCTCGTCTAGGTACTGTTGCCGTGCTGTTCCCATGCCGTGCGTTTGCCGTGCCGTCTCCGCGTGTCGTGCCCGCCGCACGCCGTGTTGTGCCCACGTGCCGTGCCGTGCCCCCGTGCCGTGCCGTGCTCTTGCCTCTGCCGTGCCGTGCTCTTGCCGTGCCGTGGCCGTGCCATACCGTGTCTTGCCGTGCCGTGCCGTGCTGTGCCTGCGTGCCGTGCTGTGCCGACCATGCGTTTTGCCACGGAGCGCTGGTGTTGAAGGTCTGCCGGTGTGATCTGGGTTCCCTATGGGGCGCGACACGTGCGAGGGGTGCGCTGACGTGTGCGGAGCGAGCGTAGGCGAACGCTCCCACTGAGGCCGTGCTTGGGGGAGCTCCCTATGGTGTGCGACATGTGACGTGTGGGAGGGGTGCGCCGAATTGTGCGGGGCGGGTATCTGCGAACGCCCTCGCCGAGGATGCAGCTTGGCGCCCCCCTGTGGCACGAAACGTGTGGTGTGTGTGTGTGTGTGTGTGTGTGTGTGTGTGTGTGTGTGCGTGCCGCAGGGCCCGTCGGTCGGGTCGTTGAAAGTAGGTATTTTTGGATTCCCAGGTCCGAATCTACTTCAGGTGCCTTCCGACTTCAAGGATCGAGTTTTCCTTTTCCTTTTCCTTCCTCTTCATGGGGCGGGCGGAGATCCAATCTACTTTCGACGACTCCCTGCTTCGTGTTCCTACCCACTTCCTCCGACCGACGGGTAAGCTGGGCTGGGGCGCGGAGTGCGTGAGGGGTGTGCCAGATCATTCGGCGGGGGGGAGCGCGAGCCAGCCCCCCGCTGGGGCCCCGTGAGGGCTTCCTGCGGGGCGCGTGGCGCGCGAGGGGCGCCGCGCTCGCTGGCGGGCGGCCGCGCAGCGGCAGCCCCTGCAGCAGCGGCGGCGGCGGCGACCAGAGGGGCAAGGAGCGGCAGCAGCGGCCAGGATTGGGAGAGCCAGAGTTGGCGGCGCCCACAAGGGAGTGGCGCGAGGGCGGTGGGCTTCGAATAGGCCTCCCTGCTTTCTTAGAAGCCTCTCCGCCCGATGGGAAGCCTACGGGATCTTCTAAGAAGCTCCCTGCCTTTTCAGGAGCCCGTTCCGTTTTCTTAGAAGCCTACCCCGTGCCGCGCCACCATCTTGGAACGGCTCACAGAAGGAACACGAGGCGGAGAACGATGCGTCAGACCCGCGGCGCTGCGGAAAAAACATTATGGTCAAACTCCACAGGACGGCCAGGAAAACGAAAGCTGCCCGACACGCACCAATGTGGCACAGAGCGATGACGGACTTCATCGCCATCTAGAGGATGGGCGCTTGCTGCCATCAGTGCAGTAGCATGGCTAGATTTCATCGCCATCTAGAGGATGGCCGCTTGCTGCCATCAGTGCAGTAGCATGGCTAGGTGTCATCGCCATCTAGAGGATGGCCGCTTGCTGCCATCAGTGCAGTATCATGGCTAAATTTCATCGCCATCTAGAGGATGGCCGCTGGCTGCCATCAGTGCAGTCGCATGGTTTGATTTTATCGCCATCTAGAGGATGGCCGCTTACTGCCATCAGTGCCGTAGCATAGTTTGCATCGCCGTATTGTCTTGAAGGTAGCGGAATTCGCTAAACAGCCCCATGCGTAAGAAGGGGACGCTCTTCTGCTTCATAAGGGAGCGAGGGGGAAGAGGACATCCTCGTACAGCAGGGGGATTGGGGTGTTTCATAATGTCAAGTTCAGGACGTTCGGCAAGGGACTCCACCCTGGGGTGGTCGGGAGCGAGATTGGGACTCGACCCAAACGGCGACAACGCACAGGTGTTGCCAGACGCCGTCGCGAAGAGCTCAGGCCCATGAGTTCGCCTGGATTCAAGTCGTGTCGTGTGTGCTCGATCTGCGAATACAGTCAACCCGCATAGTAAGGATGAGCAACTTCCCAAGGTTACCCTTGCATCCTTGCCCTTTAGCCCATCCTTGGCCGCTTTCGCTGGCCGCGCCCCGCTCGCAAGGTGTCGACATGGCCTTCCAAGGCCTTGCATCCTTATCGTGAATCCTTGTTATACGGGTTGGCTGTACATTACGTGCGAAGAGGAAGTCGCAATCGTCGTCTTCCTTTCCTCTTTCCCCCTGGTTTCCTGCTTCCATGAATGCATTCTCGTATCGAAGAAGCCTTCGGCGAGTCACCACCGCCCCCCCTTCCCGTGTGAACAGGCAAGGCACTGGCGGCCGATGGGTTGCAGAAAAGCTTCGGGACGTATTTTGAATGTCCAAGAGAGACCCTCGGGTGCCGTCCTGGGGTTGTCTTGGGCCTCTTTTCGGGCTCTCCTGGGCGTTCTTGGGGATCTCCTGGGGCGTTCCAGGGCCACCTTGGGGCTCTGTTGGGCTGTCTTAGGGTTCTGTTGGGCTGGTGAAGGAAGCCCCACCATAATTTACACAACGCTCGCCTCCCAGACGGTCAAGATGACCGACGGCCTCCACGACGGCCTCCAGGAATGTCAAGGATGGGGTCTCTTGGGGCGTCTTGACGTCTTCTTGGGGCCCTGTCGGGCCGTCTTGGGGGCCGTTTTGGAGTTATTTTGGGGCTGTCTTGGAACCATCTTGGGTCGTCTTGTGGCCCTCTTGGGTGCCTCTCGGGCCGTCTTGGGGCCATCCCGGGCCGTCTTGAAGCCCTCTTGGGGGCCTCGTTGGCCATCTTCAGGCGATCTTGGGGCCTTCTTGACTCACCTTTGGGTTCTTTTGGGGGCTTCTTGGGCCGCCTTGCGATTATCTTGGAGGCCTTTGGGGCCTTCTTGGGGTGTCGGGAACCCGAAAAGGCGAGAACATTTCAAAGGCCAAAGGGGGCCTTTTGAGAGGCCTTGAGGTCAGCTTGGGTCTTCTTGAGGCCATGTTGGGCCGTCTTCGAGGCATCTTGGGGCAATCTTGGCCGTCTTGAGGGCCATCTTCGGAATCTTGGGCATCCGGGGCCAGCTCGGGCGTCTTGGAAGACCAATTTGAACAATCTTGGCGGAGAAACCCACTGGATACGGTGCCAGATGGTTGGGCCGGAGGCCAAAGAAGACTTTTTCAAAGCCAGAAGGAGATGTAATCTATAAACCTTGTCACGCCAAGCAACCCTGTGGCAAGCCAAAGTGGGCGACGGATCGAAGATGCTTTCTGCGAACCACCGCCGCTCCCTGCCTTTTGGAAGCCCCGAGCTAAAATCTGGCCGAGCTATGGGTGTGTAACAGTTCCCCCAACCGTTGTGGAAATTGGGGGAACACTTGGGGGAAGGAGGGGAGGAATGAGAAGGAGGACGAGAACGGTGTGAATGCTCATGTACATTCCCCGCCTGTTGTCTTTACCGCCCATTCTGCCATTCAGCCGCCGCTTGCAGCGCACTGATCAACGTGCAGAGACCGTATGCAGAGATCAACACAACTGATCATACGCATCACAGCAGTCGTGGACATCAGAGCAGCAGTGGTCCGACAGGCGACAGCGGCACCCAGAAAGAACCGATAGCAAAGCAGCGCTGCAAAAAATGAGCCACAATCATCGAGAGCTTCGAAAAAGAAACACAATTGGTTGCCAGGTGCCGCGGGCTCGGCCTTGCGCCGGGTCATCACTGGCGGCGCGCGCTTTGTGGACAGCACCACGCCGAGCACCTCGACGACGTGCTTGAGGGGGCCCACCAGCTCGAGGAAGGTGGCTCCCAGCGCAGCCAGCTGCGAGGGGGAGCCACATTGTCGCCCGTCGGTGTGCCCCCTCTGAAATGGCTGTCCCTTTCCGGCATTCTGCGACCATTTGCGAACCCTACCCCTGCGGGTCCACTCGACGCTGGGCCCGCTGGGGTTCACTTGGCTGCAGGGATCCTTCCGTTTCTGAACCCCTGACCTGCAGGGATAGGATTCACATGCGGTTGCCTAGGCATTCCGCTGCCAGCCAGCTTCCTGGTCGAGCCGGCGGGTGACCTCGCAAGCCTCTGCCATCCGCGCCTTCGCGTGTGGGCCGCGGTCCCGCAGGGTGCGGTCGTCCGTGTACGCCTTGACAGAGAGACGTGCGGGCAGGACGCCTCCACCACCCAGCTCCACAAGCTCATATCCACCGGCAGGAGGAGGACCGACAACGGGCCGGGCATCCCTGGAGGAGCCGCCACGCGGCCGCCGACTGCCGCCAGTGACCTTGCGCCCTTCGATGTCCGCCAGGAGCGCCTTGACTATCTCTGCAGGGTCCTGCCTGGCGCCCGCTGAGGTGCCAGGATGAGCCAATTGATCGTCCGCGGCCGGAGGGTGGCCAGGAGGTCCCCCATGCCCAGCCTGCAAGCGACCGAGGCGATGCCGATGGGGCGGAGGCCCCTGGGGCCTTCGTTCTTCGGTATGAGCGCGACCCTGGCGTGCGTCCGGCTGTGGGCCCAGGCCCCCGTCGAGCACGGCGTTCCACATTCTGCTCGGTCGGCCACGTGCTTGGGCTTCCACTTGTCTGCTCCTGCTGTCTAGGGCCGCATGCGGCCTGCCCGTCACCGCAGGCACTTCCGGTGCGGTCCACCTCGACCAGTCTGGCAGGCTGGGGCTGTGCCGCGGCACCAGGCGAGTGTAACCGTGGAAAGCTATCATCGCCCCCTCCCCCCCCTTTTGGTGAAACCCTATCGCCTCTCGCCCCTGGAAGTGATATCCCGCCCCGGACGCCTCAGTGCGGGATCCCACCAAGATCCTAATAGGATTCGAACAAGCCCCCAATTGGATTTCAATGAGAGCTGAAGAGGGTTGCAACATGAACCCAGTAAGATCCCAATCGGATTTCGATAGGGTTCAAAGAGGATCCCAGTAGGATCGGATCCCAGTAAGATTCCGCCTTGTCGATAGTACCCCCATGGTTTGTCGATGGTGCCCCCTAAGGACTTATTTTGTTAGTCTGTCGTTAACGATATCGCTCGGCGGGTCCTCCTCCATCGGGAATTCATTCATTACTTTGAGTGCTACGGAAACCATTGGGGGGATCGATGATTGCTGGCCACGGTTATCTGTCAGCGCTTGGTGCCTGGGGGGGGGGCGGCTCAGAGCACAGTATCCTCGACGCTGCAAGTGGCTAAGCTTGCGTGCGCGTCGTGCCGTGGTGGCCGCCCCGTGGCGGATGCCGTCTCTCAATTTGGTAGCTGCTGCCTGTTCTGGTCCCGCCTGGCCCTGCTCTGTTCCGCGTGCGCACCGATGTCCATTCTGTCCCTTGTCGATGCATTTGCAATCGAATGCACCAAGCCGCGGCCCATCCACCTCATCACCTGCCAACTGGCCGTTCTCTTCTACCATTGGCAGCTGCACACCCGCAAGCCACCATTCCTTGCTCACCTCACTGAACCTTGCCTTTGCCCAGGCGCCCTTATCCTCGTGCGTGCATGCAGTCGCCGATGTTGTCGGCTTCCAACCCTACCACGTTGAGGTGCATGTTGGAGCTGCCCGCCCAGCGCCACCGCCACCGCCGAAGCAGTATCTAAGACGCCTACGGCGAATCACCGCCGCCCCCTGCCTTTGTGGAAGCGCCTATGTGGCCGAACGTTGAGGCCAGACCTGCCAAGCCATCGGACCATGTGTTCCCCGAATCGGTTTGGAAAGCCTTCGGGGAACACGTGGGCGTCTTGAAGGTCATCTTGGCCGTCTTGGAGGCCTCTTGGGCGATCTTTCGGCGATCTCTGGGGGCTCTTGGGCCGTCTCGGGCCGTCGGAAGGCCGAAAAGAAGGAAATGTCAAAATCCGCCAAAAACCTAAGGACAATCAATGTTTTTGGCCTCTTCTGGCCTTCCTGGAGGCCCTCTTGGTGGCCTCCGGGGCCCTTTTGGGCCAGCTTCGAGCCACCTTCGGCCATCTTGGTGGGTTCCTGGCACGTCTGACGCCGTCGGGAGCTGTCTTGGGGGCCTTTCTTGGCCCACGGGGCCCTCTTGGGGCGCTTCGGGGCCGTCTTGGAGGCCATCTTGGGCGTCTTGGAGGCCATCTTGGGCGTGTTGGAGGCCTTTTGGGCCGTCTTGGGGCCCTCTGGGGGCCATCTTGGAGGCCACTTGGGCCGTCATGTCATGGGGGCCTCTTGGGCGATCTTGATTCGCCTCGTGGGCCGTCTTGGGCCGTCGGAATGCCGAGAAGAAGCACATTCCAAAATCCTTCAAAAACCTAAGGAGACTCAATAATTTTGGCCTCTTCGGGCCCTCTTGGGGGACCTCTTGGAGGCGTCTTGGGTCGTCTGGGAGGCCTCTGGGGGGCCTCTTGGGCCGTCTTGGACTCTCTTGGGCCGTCTTGGAGGCCGCCTTGGACCATCTTGGGCGGACTTGGCGGCCATCTTGGACCATTTTGGAGGCCATCTTGGACATCTTGGCCACCAAGCCATCGGACCATGTGTTCCCCGAATCGGTTTGGAAAGCCTTCGGGGAACACGTGGGCGTCTTGAAGGTCATCTTGGCCGTCTTGGAGGCCTCTTGGGCGATCTTTCGGCGATCTCTGGGGGCTCTTGGGCCGTCTCGGGCCGTCGGAAGGCCGAAAAGACGGAAATGTCAAAATCCGCCAAAAACCCAAGTGCAATCAATGTTTTTGGCCTCTTCTGGCCTTCCTGGAGGCCCTCTTGGGGGCCTCCGGGGCCCTTTTGGGCCAGCTTCGAGCCAACTTCGGCCATCTTGGTGGGTTCCTGGCACGTCTGACGCCGTCGGGAGCTGTCTTGGGGGCCTTTCTT